TATTGAATGAAATAAGATATCGTGTTTTCTTTTGGGAGAGTATCCCGTGTTTTGGAGAGAGTATCTCCTCGTTTTATCCTTCTCATCCGTACGCTTTTCCCTACATCAGTTTGGCATCCAATAATTTCCACATGGGTCATAAAAAGAGTCATCACATCAAGAACTACTGAACAAAATTAAAACAACATTAATCAGCTGCTAAAGGATGGAAATCTAGAAGATAGCATAAAATTAATCAAGAAATTAAAAACTAATTAGAAAATCTCGTTAGTACCCTTCAAGATAAATTAAAAAAACAAAAGAACATCTCTCTCTCTCTCTCTCTCTCTCTCTCTCTCTCTCTCTCTCTCTATCTAAACAACACGTATAGCTATGTATGATAGAACATTTTTCTAAGATTTTATTTTTTGGTAAAATAACTCACCTTGTCTTGTTTCCACTGCTTCACCATGTACGTGCCTTGAAGTACCCCTTGTATGTTTCTCTTTCCTTCTCCACCATTAGCTTGTTGGCCAATATCCTCTTGCACGGATGAATTGGACCTAGCTTCGTCATCATCATCAAAAAATTGATTGAATTCGATCTCGATAACAGGGTATCCAATTTCCGAGCTATTGTCGAAATTTAGGCCGATTATAATGTTATGTGAAGATCTCGGGACTGCATCTTCTACGTCGTAAGGAGGTTCGTTCAAATCAATCAGAATGTTTGAAGCCATTGAAAATCTTTATTTATGATATGGGGTTTAACTATATCATTCATATTTATAGACATTTGTAGGTATTGCTTCACAAACTTTGAAATGTTGAATGGGAATTTTGATTTTACCTCATTGTCAAAATTTTGGCTCCAAACGAAAAGATTTTGGTAAGGCTGTGTATTTTATGAAGCTGTATTTTGTGAAGGAACGATGAGGAAGATGAAGAGTTTTTCTTCCTTAAAAAAATATAACAAAGCTTAAGTTAAAATAATTAATTAATATTAATTGTCATTAAATAAGAGTAATATTGGCAAAAGAAAGCATACTTAATCCATGTGCAGAAGTACAGAACGACTTTTATAATAAAATGGAGGGAGTATTTTTAAATTGATTTATCTATTCCCAATTTACTAAAAAGAAAATAAGTAATTATTGCTGCTTGTTATGCACATTATTTTTATTTTTTATTCTTTAAGAAATAATAATAAAAGTAAAATATGATTTAAAATAAAAATAGTGTTGTTTCTATTCTCTCTATTTTGCAACTCAAATATAGAATAAAATGTTAAACATAAAAATAAAATAAAAAAAGTATCAATTTATTAAACATTATCGGTAGTATTTATTATTGAGCTATTATTTAGAGAAATGTCATACATTATAAAATTAATGATAAAAATATATATATAACTATATATTATACATATATGGTAAATAAAAAATTCTATATTAATTAAACCGGTTTGGCTGTTGGTCTGACCAGTGAACTATTGAACCAATATCTTTATCGGTTCGATTTTCAGAACCATATGTTAACAATTTTTTTCGCACGACTCTAAAGTGATGAGTAATCTATTTTGATGTAATAAAAAGTCACACAAAACACCAATTACAAATTACAATGATCTTATACACAATTTCAATCTTATATAAGAGATGTCAATGATTGGGTTTCGAGTTGGGTTCGGGTAGGATTATGCTATCCGAACCCCGGGTCGGGTCGGGTGTGGGTATAGTAGGAAACTTGTTACCCGACCCGATTACCCTACCCGTTTACCCGCAACCATTGAATCTTATATATATATACATACATATATACATATATATATATATAGCTTATTATAAATATAAAAGTAGTCATGTGTTATTTTTAAAAATTATATTATCTATTATGATTTTGATTAATGGTTAAATTTTATTTTATTTTTTGTGATTTTATTGTCATTTTTTGTTAATTGTACAATAAAAAATTAAATACTTAATTTTTAAATATTTTTTTAAATAGACTATAAAAGATAAATAATTATATCTCATTATATATTCCAAAAATAATATAATTTTCTTTATAGTTTTTTTTATTGTCAAACTTAGTTAATAAAATATTTTTTATAATTAATTGTGTAATTATTTTATTTTTTATATGAAACGAGATGGGTCGGGTAAAACCCAAATTTAAGACTCGTGTTACAAGTTTACCCGACAAAAACCACTAACCCGTCGATTAAAACCCAACCCGAGCCCGAAGATCACTAGTCATGTAACGGGTCGGGTTTGGGTATGGTAATTGCGGATCGGGGTCGGGTTTGACAAAACCCATACCCAGGGGCGTAGCTATGTAGGAGGCTTGGTGGGCTAGAGCCCTACCTAAAAAAATTGGAACAAGTATCATTGTATTGATATATTTGTATCTTACTTTTATTTTGATTTATTCTAATTAAAATTGAAAGATTTCTCTTACCAATTAGCACATCTTTTTAATCTCAATTAAAAGATTTCACTATGTTAACAATTTTTTAATTTTATTTTCATTAATGACAATAATAAGAAAATAAAATTTAATCACTTTAACAACAGTAAAATTTAATCACTTTAACAACTAAT